AACTTAGGAGAACTGAAAATTCCTCACTCTTAAAAGTTTTTATTATGAAAATGGATTGTGTAGAATATACTTTTCATGAAGACTTATCTGAAATCTCAAAGCTTCAATAAACTTGAGACAAATTGACAAAATAATCAATGTAGAAGCTTTGCTGAAATGCTGTAAAAGTTTCAATCAAATGACACTTCAGCAGAACAGCATGCTAGACACAGAATTGTGCATTAAATCAGGAATATAAGCATGAAACAGAAGAAAAAAGCAAGGGTGCCTTGAAATGCATGTGTCCCTTTGGGACTTTTAGGCTTTAGCTAACCTTAAAGCCCTCTGGTGAGAGACATGCTAATCCACCAGCCTGAGCAATGTTGGACGCTCCATTAAAGCAAGTGCACATTATGCGATTGAAATCATGTAAAATAGGAAATCCATTAGCGTATAGAGTTCTTCAGGGACTACTGTCCAACCAAGGCGGACACCTGTGAATCCCGCAAACTTGGAGAAGGATGAAATTTCAATTGCAACCTAAAATTCAGGAAGACAGAGATTGAATTAGCCAGAAGTGATGTGGACATTCACTAGGAAAAAGATTTGATCATTTGTCTTCATTAAAAAGACACAAAGTAGATCTTATGAACTACCACTCAACCTGATGATTGACTTGTCTCTGACTTAATTAGCCAGAAGTGATTCTTTTGGATTCTAGAAATAGGTGCACAAGTTGATTTTGAAAACGCATTAGAAAAATAAAGGCCTGCAAGATAAATGAGCAAGGTTACCTCTCTGGCACCGGGAATTTCATAGATTGATTTGGGACTATCATCAGTGATATATGCTGAATATGCAGATCAAAGCCAATGATTGATCCATTCACTTTGGCAAAATCGACAAATTGCTCTAATTGCTTCCTTGTTGCTGCATGACTAGTGGGATGTTTGGAGAACAGAAGAAAATAATATCTGCCCTTGGAGCAGTAGATAGATCTGGAAAGAAGTTCGTTTGGGGCCCGCATTTCATGTACTCTATGTTTCATACTTGCCAGATTTAGCTAGAAAGTTGCCAGTCTGACCAATTATAACACTTGAGTCTACGTAAGCCTGTCCCAGAAGAAATTGAATGGTTAGAACACTTTCAGCCTGGTGAGAAGACGGTTACACAGCTTGAGAAGCTTCTTATAGTGAAAAGATAGAATAAAGATAGACTGCTACTCTATGCATGTTTTCGAACTCGCTAGCTTTAGCTAGAAACTTGCCTGTCTGACCAATTATGACACTTGAGCCTATATTTATAGCTGATCCCAATCCCACATAAAGAAGAAGGGTTGTGTTAAGCCCTCGATATCCAACGTAATATTTTGTTGATTTTCATATGGATATGGACAAAATACAAAATTGGACTCTCAAACGCTCATAAAGTGCAACAGAAGCAAAACATCCTGATATGCTTCAGGGATTTCTCTCATATCTCTCATAGCCATACTTTCTAATTTCTTTCCATTTTCTACTTTTTCCTTCTCTCTTTCCATTTAGTTTGTTTCAACTTTCAAGGAATTTGAGTCAAGAAAGACTGCAAAAATGCTATAAAGGACATTTCTTACAGCATTCCGCCATCATAATCAAGGAATGAGAAACATTTTATTCTCAAACTCCTACTTTGTGAATACACTTAAATTCAAGTCCTGCATCAAGTGTTTACTGAAGAAAATATTGCTTTAGCTATTGTGGCCCCCTACTGTTATAAACTAGTGAGCAAAGCCACCGTTGAGGTGATGACCACGTGGAGTCCATCACTTGTTATTACGCAGAACTTCATAATGGTTTTTTACATTGGCTCAAGTCCACTTATACTCGGTCAATTTTCAGGCATCAAATAGTCTACATCTTAACTCAACCTCAAGGTTCGAGTTTATAAGTCCTTAAAATTTATTATATATAAATTATTAAGGCCAATTTTATTTGGTATGAGACTTCTCACCTCAGTTTAAGTCTATTGACATTTGGGCAACTTAACAATTACTAACATCTAGATAATATAGGTCATAGTTGAATTGAATCATAAAGCTATACCGGAAAAGATGGGTCTTGGATAGCTCTCTTTACATTCGAACCCAGGAGCAGCTGCTGGCAATGAGACAAATCACAATAAAGTAACCTGTGTTAAAGGCAGCAATACACGATATGATTATCTTACAACGAGGGATTGACATTCTCACCTGAATGCTTCATTACTGTGTGAGTAAGAAAACTTAAAAACAACAAATGCATATGAAACAGTACTGATCTAACACCTGAAGACGGGTAATGTCACATTGAGCACCATCTGATACGAAAACCTCAATAGGCTTTATACCTAGATCCTTATAGAATGCACTAGCAATTGCTTTCCTCAAAGCCTGCCATATAGTTGTCAGAAAATATTACTTGCATGGCACATCAATATAATAATAAAACCAAATCGGAATTGAAGTTCACGTGTTGGAAAAAAGATGAACAGCATGAGACTCAAACTTGACAACCTGGACTTCAATGCATAGGGAAAAAACTTTGCATTTTGGAACCAGCGTCTTTCATGAAAAGAAAACAATTTTCTTCAAATTGCTGGAACAAGCAACCACTGAACCACATACCTTTTCACCTTGCTCAGGTCCATATCCTTTATAACCTTCTATTGTTGAAAGGCCATGCACAAACTGCATGAAACCATGAGTTAAAATTTTTCTTGGATGACATGTAGAGAAATTTCTACATCACAAACTTATGATAAGACGTTTCAAGAATTGGATGAATCTACTTATCTAGAAACAGCAGAAAAGAGGAACCAAAAAATGACAGGTTTTAAAATATCAGAAGAGGAATTTTTCAAGTTGAGCAATCAGAAGAAGAATAATTATCTCTCTCATAAACCCTCTTTCAAAATACAAGTCACTTTCCAGTTTCCAGGTGAATATTCATATTCTAACTCAACAGAAAGAACAAAGTCAATTTAATCACTTACATCGACCATGCTAGATGTAATAACTGTTGGCAAGGGCTCTGTAGTATCACCAAGTCCGAGGTCTATCACTTTCTCATGTGGATACTTCTCTTTGTACATAAACTCATGTCTGTCAATCTGATGCAACTAGGATTCAAATTAGACAACACATCATAAAATTCTATGACATCTCATCAGAATGATGAAATAAATGAGAGTCATCTCTGACTGGCAAATACAATTGAAATTTCCAGACCAACATGACAAGTGATTAAAGATTTCAGAACGTCAAAGTTATTTGGTCAGTGAAGATTACAACCCCTCAACAATGCATCACATCAAGTTCATCAAATAAACAAAATGCTCAACATGAACTGTCAAGTGATGCCTAGAATCTTAGGTGTTAATTGTAATAATAACTATGGTTAAAGAGAAGGTTAATGCACAATCTATTCAAATGGAAGGGTGAAGGAAATTTTGCAAAAAGAAAAAAAAAATATTAACAGCAAGAAGTCTTATCCCATTAGAAAAAGAAAAACATTTATAGTCCATATCTATGTAAAATTCAACAAAGTTTTATATTGACTGTTGAGGGTTTAGCATAGCCCTCCTCTTTTATCTAGGCTTGAGACCAGCTATAACACATAGGTGGGGTTATAAACAATATTAAGAAGAGGCAAAAAATAGTTCAGATAAAAGATCAAGAAATGTGATTAACATTGAAGAAACACCTCTGGAAACAAATAACCATGTTGCAGTTTCTCCATGCTTACATTCCGGAGTACCTTGATACAACTTCCTGCATTTGACAATCATAATGAAAAGTTTAAGGATAAAGGAACACCAATGAGAAATAAATCTGTAGAAACTAAAAGCTTGAATTAAGCAAGTTTATATGGTTTATATATGATACCAAGTCTCAGTACTTGATTCTTCAAACTGCATGACAGCTTGTAAATTATCATGGGATAAACATATTGAATATTGTTCAAAACCGTGTAAGTGAAGATCAAAGTAATAGAGATGACAATGTCATTATCATCAAACTTGATTTTACCTTTGTTTGGCCATTCTAGATGGGAAAAGATTTGTATTAAACATAACACTTCCAGTTGACATCTTGTATATTTTAGGCCTGATTTAAGTTCTTCAATAAGAAACTTGTCTAAGGCTCTGGTTCTTATATATGCTTACAGGTCAACAAAAAGACTTAGAGAGTCTACTGAAGTGTATGTAAATTTCCCTTTTCCACACCTTCACCTAATTTCCGTCATTTTGCTTCGTCTCTTTCTTTTTTTAAATCTCTTCAAATTAAAAGAATCCATCCATCAATTTCAGATTAAAGAACACATCTGTCAGAATATCTCATTTTCAGCTTCTCTTTTCTTCGACCATCCCAAACACTGTTTTAGTCTTTTTCTTCTTCATCATCCTTTTTTTTTTGGCGTATAATTGGCAAAACAGATACACTGCCATGTAAAGTTGTGTATATATGAATTTGGCAGAAGAACAATGGTGCTAATTGAGTTTTTAAGATGCCATCTGAGCAATTTCCAAACCAACTGATGCTCCTTTTGTTGGCAGAAATAAGGATTAAGAGTTTGATTTGTTATATAATGAACTTTTAAGTCCATGAAGTTAATTAGATTTCATTTCAATTTGACCATTTAATATAATACAGATTCTTAAAATATGATGACCCAATATTGCAAAATGTTTATTAACTAAAATGTGTGAACAAGAGAAATTGAGAAGCTAAAATCTTTATTATTAATATTATTTTAATTTTAATTTGAACTTGATCCTGAGCTCAAATAGATCCTTTTGCTAATTTTTTCCCCCTATTGTTGGTTGTTGAAATCTCAAATTTTAAACTCATGAATTATAAAAATGAATATGGAGTGGAAGTCAATGAACATGAAACACCTAGATCGAAGAAAAGTAATCATAAGTCATCTTCTTCAATCATATTAAAACAAAACTTGTGTAGAAAATCATCAGTCACCTAAAATAATCAAATAAAAACAAAATCAAGCAAAGTTTTTCTAATCGTCTCATTTTTTCTTCCCCTGATGCCATCTTAAATTGGGTGAACCTTCGCGATCCTTTCGTATTGTAATTTTTTCATATATATATATATATATATATAAAATAAAATTTATAATGATCACTACGTTCTTCATAATTTATTAACAGGGTAGTTTATTGTTTCAATTCTGTGGGTAGAAAAAATAAATGCATATCAATAAATGAAAAAAAAAATAATGAAATAAACATAAAGTGATTCAGAAGTAGAGAGAACCAAATTGGAGAAGGACAAGGGGTTTGATTCAGAAGTTGAGATCATTGGAATAAACATAAGATAATTAGTTTTTTTTTAAAAAAATTACTGCAGCACATATATGTGCTTGTATCACCCTATAGTGTATAGGGAAATTAGTCCGCAGGTTCTCATACTTTTCTTTAGTTCTAAATTAGGTCACTATAGTTTATTTTATTTTAATTAAATTCTTATAGTTTAATTTATTAAATTTGTTAATCCCTTAAGTTTAAAATTATTAATAAATTATTAAATTAAAAAAACAATTTTAGAATTTATAGAAAATTTAATTTAATATTTTTGGGCAAAAAATTGATTTAATACAATTTTAAATTTTTACTAATTTTTTTATGAAAAATATTTATGTATAGAAATTATTTAGAAGATAGCATAATTATATAAATTGAGTTATAAAAAATTTCTTAATTTTATCTTCAAGGATTTTTAACTTTCAAGGATTAACAAATTTAGTTGATCAAATTATAAATACTTGATTAAAATAAAAAAAATTACAAAGACCTAATTCAACATTGAGAAAAACTATAAAGACCTCCAAATATATTTTTCCTAATATAAAATATTAAAATTAATTAGAAAATCATGTTATAAAAATGAATATATTACAACTTACAAGCATAAGTTTAAAAGAATAGTGTGTCTGAAAAAATTACTCCTTTTGTCCTAAATTATAGAGCATTTTTAAAAAAAAATTATTTTAAAATATAAGACACGTTGAGTATATTAAAATTTTATTAAATGCATTAATTTTACTATTATTCTTTCTCTTTTTTAATTAATTTTTGTATTTTTTCTTTTTAATATATTAAATGATGGATATTTTTAAAAGTTTATATTTTTATTTTAAAAATATAAAATTTTAAATATATTTAATAAAATTTATTAATATATAAAATTTTATTTAAAAATATTTTATAATTTAAAATAAAGGAAGTAGCTTATTAAGTAAGATAACTCCTTAAATTTATAAAACTGTTAAACCTCACCTCTCACTCTCTGTTTTTTTTTTTTTTTTTTGTTGGGGTGTGGGACTGGTAACATAATACTGTAACTTACTTTATGCTCTGTAAAGTGTGATACTGTAACTTTAGAGTCTAATTATATTCCATCTCTCGATATAGTTTACACATTTTTTTTTTTTACGAATGTCCAAATTATTAATAAAGATTGGCCTGGTTAATAAAAATTTACTATATAACTCACAAAATTATAGAATTAAATCTCATTACTAATATTAGAATTTTATTAATGAGTAATTTATAAATATCTTTATAAGTTTTTTTTTTAAACTGAAAATATGCCCTGCCTTGTGAGCTCGTAGGACCAAATCCACATAAACTTTTATATATATATATATATATATATAAAAGAAATGTCCAAACTACAAAGTTATTCTATCTTAATATATAAAGAATCAGCTAGGGAAAATTTATCAAATTATCGTAAGTAATAACACTAATTTTCACTATAATAATACTAGTTTTTCATTTGATATAAAACCATAAAATCTATGCAAAATCATATTATTCTATACATGATGTGGCTCGACTCAAATCGGTTTATGCAAATTAATTACAATCAATTCTCCAAAAACACTGGATTGTTTCCCCTCCCGCTTTATCAATATAGGCTAATAGGCTATAATTATACCTATGATATCATCCAACTGTTGAGATTCGATTGGAAAATTGATTTTAATAGACCAACCACTAACCTACGCATAGTATAATTATTTATTACATTAAAATTCATAAATTTTGTTTACCCTGAAATTTGGTAAATTTGTAAGACAGGTTTTATATACAAGATGTATGTCAATGTCATTACTCATTGTCTCATTTAAGAAAAGACATATCTTCTTGCTGAAATCTAATGTAATTAGTCCTCATCTTTTATTTTGATTATGTATAAAAAAAATTGTAATTTTTTTAATAATTATATAACTTAGTTAAATAGTTTCATAACTTATTGCGTTTAAAATTAATTATTTTATATCAATATAAATCAATTGTACACGTGCGTCTAAAACTTGTCATTAAAACAATCAATTTTGGGTAGGAAAAAAAATAATTATAAAATTGTTTTTACTATCATTTTTTCAAAATTTAGAGTGGGAAAGTGTTATGTTTAAAGAATAATATAGTAATAAGAAAAAGAAGATATCAACCTCCTGCTCTTTAGGCCCAGAAATAAAACTCATTGGTTTCTAAAATTTTAGAATTAGCCACTTAAATGATATTTAGTATTTATGTTAAAAACCACCAAAACATAATTTTAATAGTTTTAAACATAAAACCAAATACGCACTAAAAATAAAAAGATAACGAGAACAGAATTCCTTTTATTCCCATAAGGCTATACTAATTTCTAATACATACAATACAACAATGACAAAAGTGAGGGGAGCTTTGTGGCCTAAACTTCATGCCACTTGAAAACCCAATACAAATTATACATGACTTCTTTGTTGTCACAAAATGATCAATGGGGGCTATGTGAGCTGGACATCAACATAATAATTCATAAAGATAAAAAGAAAAAGAGAGTCCCGAGCGAAAATCATCATATGCACAAATCTGAAGTAGACTTCATCATCAAACCGAAGACACACACTCATCGTCATCATGGATCTGGGTATTTGCTCAAAGGGTAAAGTCTTCTGAGGGATCATCTAGGACCTGATAGCTCATCTGGAGGGATGTGTGAGGTTGAGTCTACTATCCAATTAGCATTGGGGTGGTGGACATAGTTGAAGTCTTGCCGGAACATCTCCTCTTTCTGCCATTGCTCCCACTTCTCTGCCAGGCCATCGCCTTCGAGCATTCGGACTACCTCAGACATTCTGGGTCTTTCCAAAGGGGTGCCTTGTGTGCATAGTAATGCTACCTGGATGAGTTGCTCAACCTCCTCGTCAATATAATTTCCCTGTAAATCAGCATCCACCAGAGTTTCCAATCTCTTGTCTTTCAAAAGTCCTTTCACCTGGATTCAAAAGAGGATACAATATTGACTTACTAATGGAATTTCGATATTAATCAACAGTATTGATACAATTGCAAAGCAGTTGAACGTAGCTCCAATTTCATCTGTCATGTAGAATAAAATACAAAACAAGTAGACTTTTATTTTATTTTTATTTTTAAAAAAAGTAATTTTGTGCATGGGAAAAATCCCATGTGCTCTTGAATAAGACAAAAGGGAATAAAAGATTTAGTTATTATTGAATAGTGATAATAACTACTTAGACGGTCAATCTACCCGCAGTAAATACATAATATTAGACAAGTAGTTTTCTCCATATATGTCATGTTCCTAGTGTGATGAAATTCTTAAAGCAAATGCTCCCGTGCGTTGAAATGCTAGCTCAATTAACATAAGGAACATCCTTGGTTGATGGAAAGGAGACTTTAGACAGCAGAGCACAGAAGCTTTGCATATTAGAAAATATTTGCTCCAGCAATTTTTGTAACCATTTGATAATATTAAACCATGCAGTCTAATAGAAGTTGTCCGATCACAAAAAGATCATAAATATGAACTGATGAAGAAGTTTAATGAACTGAACGCTTACCCAATCAAGCAACATGACATCATCATCATTGGCAAGTCGTGCAAGATCAAAAGCCCTCTGACCAGTTATTAGTTCAAGAAGCATAACACCATATCCAAAAACATCAGTCTTCTCTGAAGACTTTCCAGTAGAGAGGTACTCTGGTGCTATATGCCCAATTGTACCACGGACAGCAGTAGTAACATGAGTATCTTTGTAATCCATGAGTTTTGCAAGACCAAAGTCTCCAACAACTGCTTCAAACTCCTCATCCAACAATATATTTGCTGCTTTTACATCACGATGAATGATCTTTGGGTCACAATGATCATGCAGATAAGCAAGTCCCCTAGCAGCTCCCAAAGCAATACGCTTCCGTATTGGCCAGTCAAGTGGCGGTTGTGTTTCTGGACGCTCTGATAATATAGAACAATGGAGGGCGCAATCAATATCCATTAATACAGATTCATATGAGATGTAAGTGTTGAAATTAATCAGAGCATTCATTTGTTATTATGTCAACGGCGTTATGGTCACATAAAATCTCCAAAATATAAAATCCTTCTATTTAAAAATGTAAAACATTTTTTGAGAGATTGGATGTTAAAAAAATATAAGGCATAGTGTTTCAAGATTTAATCATTGCGTTTTCTCCAAAAGTGCTTAAAATAAATAAATCACTTTATATTTGCTTTAAAGCGAAACACCCTATTGAATAAGAGTAAATATGGGAACATGGTGTCAGTTTGAACATAATTAACTACTTTATTAGAAGGTGAAATTCGATTAAAAATGTCTTACATTTTTTAATTAAGGGAGTATTTTTTATGAATAATTAAAAATAAATCATGAATGATAACTAATAGTAACTTTTCAAATAGAATAGGGGATATGAGAGGAAAGTTCTTTATATGAGACACATCTGAAGCATATGATGAACCAATGTAAATCACATTAATCCTCCTTAAAAGATTAATTATATAAGCAGAATAGAATTATAGAGTACCTCTTAAACATGATGCTACACTTCCATTAACCATGAAAGGATACACAAGCAACCTTTCTGTTGGTGTCATGCAAAAACCACGCAGCCGAAGTAAATTCCGATGCACAGCCAAGCTAATCATTTCCACTTCTGTTTGAAATTGCAGCTCCCCACCCTGGGTGCGTTCTTCTTTCAATCTTTTCACTGCTACTAGAGAACCATCAGCTAAGCGTCCTTTATAAACCTTCCCAAAACCACCTCTACCTAGAATGTTTTTGTTACTAAAGTTATCTGTTGCGACCTGCAGTTCACGCAGTGAAAAACGTTTGAGCTGGCCAAGGTGAACTTCAGGATCCTCCTCAGCTGCCAGAAAAGGGATAGACAAAATATTAGCAAATCTGACCATCACATACAGAATCAGTCCATAAGTTTACCAAATTTTCAATTATTTAACTAACCAGGAACATCAAAGAAATATTCCTGTGGTTTCCTTCTTCGCCAATATGCAAGAGCAATTGCAGGGGCTGCAAACAACAAAGCAGCACCAGCAGCAACTCCACCAGCAATAGCTGCAGTGTCACTGTTACCTACAAAAAAATAACAGTTTTGACAGGAAATCACGAATCATGAGGCAGATCAATCACAAGAAGGTATGGATTTAAGCATCAGGAACAAGCATAAAAAGAAGCCATCTCTTCGAGGTTGTCTACTTGTCTTTAAATTCCTTACGGGCTAAGATTGTGTTTATCACTTCTACTAGGCGTTTGGTTGAGAGGTTTCTTTAAATGAGTATCAATACTAGATATGCAGAGGAATTGAACAGCTTGTGCATTCATATGTTTCTCCTTTATTTTCTTTTGCCATCATTTTAGGGCTTTGTTCTTCACCCATAAGAGGATAACCTATATTTATTTGTATTTTTATTCATTCTTGAACTCCTTCCCTTTCAGAGCATTATAAGCAGACTTTACATTCACTTCATATATTTTGGCGGTCCCTCCACCATTTGGGAGCAAGGGATAAAGGAAACACCCGTTGGTGAAGAGTTGGAGCCAAGGAAGCAGCTTCTCGTAGAGCAAAATTAAAGTGCCAGAGAAGAAGAATGCCTGTCTCTCATAGCATTAATTTTGTACGAGTCATTAAAAACCATTCTTGGGCCTCTGGCTACTTGCTTAGTACCTTACGTTTCTTCGTCAATTGGTTATTTAATTGACCCAACTGATCTAGAGTTGAGTTCTTTCTGATTTGAGTCTAATAATTAAAATTCCATGCCATTCATGTTCAGACTCCGTAAATAACGGTAAAAATTATTAATGCCTATACTTTTTTCTGAGTGTTTCAAATGCAATGGACTCTCACAAAGGAGGGCATATTAGAGTTATATCCTTCTTCATGATTATCACTAAACTACATTAAACACTTGGAACACTCCTGGATTTAGAGTTAGATGTGGAGACCTCACCATTACTTTGAAAATATTCACGTTAGTCCATAATCTTAACTCCATTAGGAATATTTTAAATGATATAAATTTCAGTCCGTAATTTATTTTCAAAATGCACAAGAGGCCAAAGTATTTCACAAGACTATTCATGGGCATTTAATACAAATTCAACTTTTTAGTTGGTGTTATTCTTAATGGGGAGAATCCATCAAAGAACCTCCTAAAAGAATTATTTGCAGGTAAAGACCAAAACGGAATTGTTTGCTGTTAAAATGGTAATAGCAACTTGGTTTTCCCCTCATATGTAAATAATTCTTTTGAGAGGTCATTGGATGCAATTCTCCCTTCTTAATATGGTGTCAGAGCTCCTGTGACTAAGTGGGTCAATAGTTTGATCCTTACCGGCCCCATTCTCTTAATTGAAATTAAATTCAGCACGGAGTATGCTGAGTTCATTTGTAAAGCCCAAAGGTTGTGTGAGGAGATGCGCTAGAGATTATGGTGCAACTGTGCATAGGTCATCACTCAACAACTTAAGCATTTAAGTTGAAATAATCATCAACGAACTTCAGTTTTAATATTAAATGACTTTTTAACAAACTAAAACATCAACAATAAAAAAATAAGATATAAATGAACCTGAACTTGCTGATGGCGTTAGAGAAGACGGAGGACTTGGAGTGACCTTTGGTTGTCTCAATCCAGGATTATTATTAAAACTGCAGTATGGAACACAGTGGTTAGCAAAAATGTTGCATCTCATCCATCAATATCCAAGGAACCAAGCAAAATTATTTTAACCAACCTGATGGGGGTAAACAATGAAAATGAACCATTAACTGGAATGTCTCCTTTCAACTGGTTGTTTGAAAGATCACTAGATTGACAGATTCACCAAGACCATAGTGTCAGCATATACTAATACATGGATAATAGAAATTAACCAAGTGCCTAAATTTGCCAGCTTGGAAAATTTAAACATAGAAGTAAACTCACAGGACTTGCAGTGAAGCAACATTAGTCAAAGAGACAGGAATACTTCCAGACAAGCTGTTATTATTGAGACGCCTATTTCAGAGTGCAGATAGGATTAGTTCATAGAGCACAAACTTTTGATAGATTGAAGAAAAAAGATTGGTCAGAAAGCAAACATCAAATCATAAAATCATGTGTAACTTGTTGCTAAACTTAAATTGGCATACCACAATAGATACTAAACCTCTGACATGACCAAGTGAAAAAAAAATTTATAAATATATATCCAGATATGAGTACAAATTAACATGTAAAGTGAAAGTGTGCCTCCTGAAACCCCTCCTCCCTCAGGTGTGATTAGAAGCCGACATATATCTTATCAAATTATGACATGATCAGCCAATGGAGGTGAAAACAGTCATTTTAGCCTTTAAAGCAAGGACCCGTTCAGAATTGCTGTGAATTTCTGTTTCTACTGAAATAGCTTTTACCAAATGAAGTTAAAAGAACTGCAGTGAGAGGAAAGTAGCCTGTGTCACAAAACCAATGGATAAGCATTTCTATTGATATTATTATGTTTAAAAAATCTTTCAAAAAGGTACTATTTACTATCACATTATTAAAAATGGACATCTATTCAAGAGGGTAGTTAAAAACGTTAGAGGTTATAATGGAAATTAATAATTTCCAGTTTTTTTTTTTACCGAAATTAATAATTTCCAGTTGAGGTACAATTGTCTTCCAAAAAAAAAAAAAAATTCCAGGAGTAGCTTCTATTTTCTGCTTCCTTTCAGCAGTGAAAAAAATTGGCTTCTACTGCCACCTAAACATTTTTTTTTTTTGGAATAAGGTCGCCAAACATCTCATTTATTCACAATAAGTACTTTCTCTTAAAATAGATGCAGCTTCTTCTCCTCCAAAAGTCTACCTCGGTGCAAATTGATAGATTGAATAAACAATCAATTAATCTAAATTACTAACACTTGAACAACTTATTTCTTTTATGAACAACTTATTTCTTTTATGAGGTGGCCAAACACCTCATTTATTCACAATAAGTACTTTCTCTGAATAAAATGCAGCTTCTCCTCCTCCAAAAGTCTACTGTGGTGCAAATTGATAGATTGAATAAGCAATCAATTAATTTAAATTGAAGTGATAGTCCCTACTTTAGGGGAAAATCCACAAATCAAATGTACATATCCTTAAAAAATTCACGATCAAACTAGTATAACTATACCTTAAAAAGACAATCTCCAAGCTCCAGCAGGATTTCTAAAGGGAATACAATCTTCCCTAGTAAAAATCCATTTCATGGAGGAGGAGGAGGAGAAAAGGAGTTTTCCCCTATATACTACAATTAGGTACAGTGTTAACCATTTAACCTACATGAGCCTGATGTGAAGGTACAAATAAAAAAAAAAGGGTAAAAAAGTAGAGGCCAGAGAGCATATGTGTCTTCAAGTTAAACATGACCACCAGACAGTACCTGTAGGTTCAGGCTTTAGCCGGAGTATAGGGAAATTAAATTATATAGCAGACCAGTCATGCTCGAGAATTCAAGAAATTTAGGAAAAGACAGGGTAGTTAATAGCTTCTCCTGATCACCCCTCTCTTAGTCCATACAAACTTCAAACTAGTTACCCTAAATCTATTTTCAATGTCCATATGATAAAGTACAATGGTGTCATGCAATTCATGTAATCGACCCCACTTAGTGAGAAAATACTTGTTGTCGTTGAATAACTGAAGAGAAGGTTGATAGGTACAAGTACCCAATGATGGTCAACTTTTGAATTACTTGTACAATATGAATTTGAGTCGCCAAATATATGGCTCAACTCCTCCAGCCTGATCAGAGGCCTTTAAAAACTACAACAACCAACAGGTCACTATCATCTATTCAAGCATCTTATGTATATTGTATACTGCTCAAATTAATAGCAAGTAGAAGTAGACTAATGATAGCAACAATAAAGGTAACAACACTGGAACGGTATTTTTACTGTAAAAATTTTCATCCACATGCAGGGTTCTAATGGAACTGCAGAAGCTGCATAATCTACCACCATTTTGTGTGAATAAACAAATGCGCGCACGTGTGCTCTAAAATGGTAATACCAGAAACAAAATTATAACAGGTTCAAATATTAGAGATATGACTGAGGAAAGTATGACATACAGAAAACGCAATTTCTGAAGCTTGCTCAAGGTGTCTGGTATGGGACCATTTAATTTGTTCAAATAAAGATCCAAGCTCACCAAGTTGGTCAAGTTCCCCAGCTCGTCAGGGATTTTTCCACTTATATTATTACTATAAAGTTCCCTGTCATTGAAAAGAATAATAACTTCAAATTTGAGCAAGTGCAGCTAAAACAAACATACTCCCTTCATCCCAAATTATAACATACTTTTAGACAAAAGTTTACATACTAATAACCCTCATTAAATACACTTAATAACCTTATTTTTTTCAAAACAAAAATGTAAATTTTCAAAAATACCCTTCATTCATAACCTCAAATCCACACCTAATTAGTATTAAATAGAGAAAGAGAAAGGGTAATATTGGAATATGCCAATTTAATGAAACTTTAATTTTCTCAAAGTATCTTATATTTTGGGACGGCAAATCTCCCCTAAAAGTGTCTTATAATTTGGGATGGAGGGAGTATTATATATTTAACAGAAAATAAATGCATAAGTGGTAGCAAAGGAGTTGAAATCTATTGGCAGAAGGCATAGCAGAAATTGAACGGCTCAAATAGATATTGAAATCTACATATAAGGGGGTGGGGAAGTTTAGAAAATCTTAATGAATAAAGTTTGATTAGCCTTTTTTTTTTTTTTTTTGCAGGAAAATAAAGAAACATCTAAGACAGTTACTTTTACATAAGATACAGTGCATGTGCAATGGAAAACAAACTGATGTTAAACATTTCATTTGATCATGTTTCCTCCATTGAACCAACCCACATACTCTCATACAGCCGAGCTTATCTCACTTACAGTGTTGACTTTACCACAACCAGAAACTTTAAAAGAAACAATTACATAGTTTATTAGTTATTCTTCTTTTTTCACCAGACTGATTCCTAGTATAAAAAATGCAGTGGGGAAGCCAAAAATCAATGCTCTAGTGCTTATATGAAAATAACTGTTGACATGATTTAGCTGATTTGCCTTTATTGCCTAGACCCATCCCCTCTCATGCTCATGACAAAATTTTCTTAATCAACTGGATTGATATAACTGACGTGTCACACTCAACACCAACTCCACGTGCCTCTTGGAAAATGTGATATCTGGTTACAACCTTTGAACATGCTGTAAGACTCAATATAATGTTACCAAAGCCCAACCTAATGATCCAATTTTGCTAGTCTGACTGACTCTAGCAACTGGAGACAATGATCATTCTGTAGAGATAATAATCACAGAATGCCAATGACCTCAAGAAATTAAGGAACACAGCTATTATTGATGGCACTGGTATCAAAAAGATGATCTATAGTTTGTTCAGAATGCTTAAATCGTTCAGTATCAGATTTAATATTCAAAAGAAAACATCCCAGGAGTTTACACATCAGTAGATGAAGCAGAAAGATCAACTTATTTGCTTCGACTTCAGGACAATAAAGAGGAGAAACAAAGAGAATGATTTGGTAAAAACAAACATTGTTAAGAACTAAGTTTAAGTGCTACTTAATTAAAATTGCCAACACTTGTTTCAAGAAGAGAGATGAGTATCTCATCACTTATAAAAGTGGAGCCTCAAAGTCACAAATTGATTTTCTTTTGATTAGGAACACAGATAGAAGACTCTATAAAAATTGCAAGGTGATTCTCGGGAATGCTATAATGACACAACATAGAGTCCTTGCCCTTGATGTGTATATTATGAGTAAAATTCAAAAATATTGACAAGTAGTAGCACCAAGGATTAGGTGGTGACAACTAAAAGGTGAGAAGTAAGATATTTTTAAGCGGAATCTTTTGGACAAAGGAATTTGAAAATCTCAGAAAAGTGCTAACAACATGTGGGAGGATATGGCTAAAAAGATAAGGGAGGTTGCAAAAGTAGTTTTGGGAGAATCAAAATGTTCTGGTCCAAGAGATAAAGAGTCTTGGTGATGGAATAATAGTGTATAGGATAAAATCAAACATAAAAAGAACTGTTTGAAAGCCATACATTTGTGTAACAATGAGGAAAATTGGGAGAGGTACCGTATGGTTAAGAAGGAAACTAAGAGAGTTGTGAGTGAAACTCGTTCTAAAGCTTTTGAAAAATTTTATAAGAGCCTTGAGATGAAGGAAGGAGAACGAAACATTTATAAGATTGCTAAGAGTAAGGAAAGAAAATCAAAAGATCTAAAATAGGTAAGGTGTATAAAGGATTAAGAGGGAAGAATTTTAGTTACAGATGATGAAATTAAAAATAGATGGAAGACTTACTTTTCCAAACTTTTCAATGATGGAGAGGGTTCGTCTAGTAACTTGGAGGATTTAGTAACCCGTGAAGGAGAACAAAATTTGTCATTCTATCGAATAATACGTGATAAGAAGGTAAAGGAAGCTCTTAAAAAAATAGCAAATAGTAGAGCCAACGGACCTGATTGTATATCTATTGAAGTGTGAAAATGTTTAGGTGAAGAAGGGGTGAGATGGTTAACTAAGTTATTTAATGTGATTTTACAGTTTAAGAAAATGCCTGACAAGTGGAGGAGAAGTACATTAATTTCTATTTATAAAAATAAAGAGGATATTCAGAATTGTACTAACTATAGAGGGATTAAACTCATAAGCCACAAAATGGAATTGTGGGAGAAAGCAATTGAGCACAGGTTGAGATTGGAGACAAGTATTTCTAAGAATTAGTTTAGTTTTATGCCAGGTAGATCGATTGCGGAGGCAATTTATCTACTAAGGGGATTAATGAAAAAGTATCGTTGTAAAGATAAAGATTTACACATGGTTTTTATTAATTTGAAAAAAGCTTATAACTGTATACCAAGAAAAGTGCTTTGGAAAGCCTTGGAAAAGAAAGGAGTACGGCTTGCTTATATTAAAATCATACAGGATATGTATGAGGGGATAAAAACTAGTATAAGAACGTCTAGTGGTCAAACAAAGGACTTTCCTATAAAGATCAGACTAGATCAGGGATCATCTTTAAGTCCTTATCTGTTTAACTTGATCCAAAATGTTTTGACAGAACATATTCAAGAGGAAATTCCCAAATGTATACTCTTCGCGATGATATAGTTCTTGTAACAAAGACAAGATAAGAGATTAATTACAAAATTGAGTTATAGAGGAGGACATTGGAGTTGAAAAGTTTTCATCTGAGTAAGAATAAGATGGAATATTTATATTATAAATTTGGTAAGAGACTAGTCGACAGTAATTTGGAAGTGAAATTGGGAGATCAAATTATACTTCAAGTGGAAAAGTTTAAATATTTGAGAGCCATTATTCAAAATGATGGCGAAATCAGTAGAGATATTTCACATAGGATTCAAGCTAGGTGGTTTAATTGGAAAAAAGCTAAAAAAGTTATTTGCGATCGTAAGGTACCTAACAAAATTAAAGGAAAGTTTTATTGTATTGCTATCAGACCGGCTATGTTATATGATAGTGAATGTTGAGCTCTAACGGAACAACAAGAGCATAAAGTTGGAGTGGCAGAGATAAAAATGTTACGATGGATGTGCGAACATATACGTAAAGATAAAATTTAAAATGAGCACGTACACGAAAAAGTGAGGGTAACACCTATTGAGAAAAAAATGGTAGAAAATCGTTTGAGATGATTTAGGCATGTAAAAAGAAGACCGCGGGAGGCACCAATGAGAAGAGTGAAACATATAACTTTGAGCCTGTTAATAGGGGTAGAGGAAGGCCTAAGAAAATACTCTCGAAAGTTGTTAAACACGATCTCTTAATTAATAATATTCCTAAAAGCTTGATAAATAATAGAGCACTATGGCATCTCGCAATCCATATAGCCAACACTACCTAATGGGATAAAGGTTTGTTGTTGTTGTTGTAAGTTTAGGTGCTACTAAAACCTCAGGTAATTATGTCTACGTAATTTTAAGCTCTTGGGACAGTAAATTAAGAAATCATCTTTTCAGAAGCCACTGAAGAATGACTGAAGAGAATACCAATAAAATATTATTCTTGGACACCATCTTGGATTCAGAAAAGATGGGACAAAACAATATCCTGGATTCTCAACTTACAAGTATTGCAAATTTGTGAGCTGACCGAGCTGTGAAACCAGTTGACCCGAAAGGTTTGCATTTCCAAGATCACTGTGACAAAACATGCAAATTAATTTTGTTTACAATACATCTTTTGTCCAAAATTTTTTTTTTTTACAATACATGCATTAAGAATCACAAATTGACAGGCAAAACCACATAAATAACTTACACCCGGGTCACACTATTGTCACTGTTGCATGTAACATGAAACCACGTGCAGGGATTTACAAGGGTAGGATCCCAACTTTGAAGAACATTGTTAGGATCGGCCACACTGGTCTTCAATGCATTCAGGGCATCACCTGTCTTAGAGAAAAGCAATTTTCAGGTGCAAACATTCTTAATATCCAATCACGTGGTCCTACACGAGTTAAACATAGTGACAGCTCACTTCACGCAAATGAAAGGTCAACTACATCAATTTATGGAAACTAATTAGTGTCAACAGGGTTGCATTAGGAAATATGTAGAGTATAAGAAACGTGAAGGCAAATAGCTAGAGGTTAGCCTCAGTGAAACATTCCTAATTCTAGGCTAACTAACAAAAGACACATGATTTCCATTCCAAGATCATTAGGTCCTTAAAAAGCCAGTTAGACGGGTAAAAGAATAAAAAAAAAATTTGGGAGAGGGGAGTGGGGGGCAAAAAATAACCAACAGAAAAAAGTAATGTTGCCACTTTATGATCACGGAATCACCCAAGCTAAATCATACAGAGCATAGGCTGAAATATTACAAAAGCTACTCCCTAGATGTAATCATATTCATTTTCCCCAGTATCGTCTGTCAATAGTATCTATGACACGGCAACAACACAACAATAAAGCCGAGAGGCTAGTAATCAGATCAGCAAAACAGAATTAAGCTAAAACGTCTCTAACAAAGCTCATTCGAAGCATCAATTTATAGGGAACAGATATTTTTGAAGTAATTAAAACCCCATAGAGCATGGTCAAAAGCAACACGCACCTTCCGCATTGCCAGAAACCTTCAGTACCAAATCAAGCACCAAAATCACCAAAAGAAGAAACGAACCGATCCAAGACGAAATCACTTCCTTCATATTTGCTACCTTCTTCAACTAGAATTCCGAGAGCTTCATAACCATGCATAATCAACCGATTACCTCCCTAATTCACAGACCCTCTCTTGATCCTCGATCTCCACAATCCCCAACAAAACCCAGAAGTATCTGCACCTCGTTGACCATAAGAAGCTCGAATTCCGGTGACAAAACTCCAAAATCGAATTATGGGAAGCTCCAATCCTCCTTCCTGTATTCTCTCTGTCAATTCCCACGACGAAATCTGGAGCTGAAATCTCAGATTGCTATCGATGGTTACCCGAAAATGCAGTCAACAGAGAGGAAAGCGGATTTCGCAGCCTCAACTTTTGCCAGGAGACATCGCAAGGGGTTGGGGTGGGGAGAAAGCAGAGTCAATGAATACTGCATCGTTTGTTTAAAAAATTTCTTCATCTTTTTATTATTCTCACTCGTTCGTTTTTCCCTACTTTTAATATTCTTTGATTTAAAATGAATTAATTAAGCGTAAGAACTGTAATCAGAAAGAGAAATTCAGATGTAATGAAAAGGAGGAGGGGGGGGGGGAGAGAGAGAGAGAGACTTGCGAACAGTCAGTACTAAGCAAGTAGGGTCAAAGACGCACGCTTGCACGCCTGTAATGGTCCCCACCAACCATCGCTTCAGCCCTCTCTGTTTTTTTTTTTTTTGGTCACATCCCTTCAGTTCAGTCCACTCAAGCAGAGATTTTTTTCTTTAAAAAAAATTTACTATTAAAGAAATAAATCTATAAATATGCAGTTAATGTGTGTGTATTTAAGATCTTCAGAATTTACTTTCTTAGATAAATCTCACATATCTGAATTGAATGAACAATTTAGTCAACTAATTAGGTTTTCCATTAAATTTGCTTTTGGACTTTTGGTTTCACTTCTGGCTTCTTGCTGTTTCAGGTTAAAATAACGGTCATTACCATGTGCTTGTCACATTATTATAGGAGTAATAAGGTTTTTTTTTTTTTGACACAGCCAGAATTATTTTGTATTTAGTATTATGTATTTAATATATTTATTTTCAATTCAAGTGAATTTTTAATTTTATAAAATTTTATTTAACTAGATTCCCAGGTAAAAAAAGTTTAGGCCATACGTAATAGTTGCTGAAACGGGAAGCGGCTCAGTTTACATTTCTATAAATAATGTGTCTTTTAATAGTTTATATATTAAAAATAATTAATTCAATTTTTCTTCTTTTTTATTATTTAAAATTATAATGTATTTACAAGGGAATATGAAATTTAATAATACACTAATTTGGACACTAAATTTGATCCAGGCTCCACACTAAAAAGAATAATAATGATTATAATAGAATAAAATGTGATCTCTAATTTCAACAAAATCCAATACTAAATAAGGATTTTTGTATATGTAGCCCATTTAATATGACCAAACAAAGATAACGGCCTAACATTTCAAATATTTTGTATTGTGGTTGAATTAATATTTAAGTTAAATTAAAATGATAAAAACACCTCTTCTCTTTAAATTTGGAATCTTATTCCCATTCTCAAATATAAAATATATTATGCTCGCTATGCTGATGGTAAAATATTCAAAATTATTTAAATATTAAAGTGATATATAGTTGTAAATGGGCCACAATTATAATCATTTAGTTATAAAAATTTTGTTATTTTGTTATCTAAGTTTTTTTATTCATTTTGGGGATAAAAGGGAAAAATAGCACCCTAACTGATTGCAAATGGATCACATTTCAAAATTTTTAAAACTTCTTTCATAATTTCTGGTTAATATATTTTTCATAATCATTGAGCCAATTGACTCTATTAAATATCCTAAAACTGAGTGAAGTTTCTATATATTGCATGAAATTTAAAGAAACAACCACACTATTCAGAAATTTTTCATAACCTTATATTGGACACTGAAGATTAAATTTAGTATTGAATAAAGAGATGAAATCAGATTATTTTCAAAAAGTAAGACTTTTTACTTTAAAAAGATTAAAATGAACCTTTTATGATTTTTAAGGCCCAGGGAAAAAAAGTTAGCCATTTATGACAAATGAAGGGATCAAAGACATGTTAGTCAAGTTTTAAAATGTATAATACTTTTTATTTCTTCAAGAAAAATAGAAGATCCAAATGTATACGCATTTGGTGTACTATTTCTTTTAAAAAATTACCATGTGCATATCTTACTTTATTATTAAGTAAAAATTAATAATCAATACACTATATATTTTTTTGTCAATAATTAATGCACTATATACTTCTCTTATTTATACGTCAAAAGGAGAGTATTATTTATTTTGATCCTATTTATAAAATACCTCAATAATTATTATTGTCATCTTTACCATTTTACTCCCATTAAATGATAAAAATATTAGTAAATGTTGGAGTATTTTATTTTTAAAGTGTGTAATTTAAAATGAGTAAAGTTGAAAACTTAAATTTTTAAATAGGGTTAATAAAATTTAAAATTTTTCATAATTTTGATAAAATATATTAATAATAATTTACAAATAAAATTGAAAAGAGTAGATCTTTTATTCATTCCCTCCTCAGTTTCATAAAAGTTCCCTGCTGATTCACTCATGTTTGATGCATTACATAAATTTATGACATTTAGATTATTTTAAGGTACAACTAATGAGTTTTTTCCAAGAATATTCTCAAATAGGGGTGTAGTTAATAAAATTTTCTATAATTAAAGCACCCTATTAAATAAGGATGGATGCGAAAAGAGAATATAAATTTAAAGATAATTAACTAATTCATTAAAAATGTAAGTTAATTAAAAATATCTTATAATATTAAATAGAAAGAGCATATAAGATGAATATTGAATTTTTTTAAATAGTGATTGGATTAAGTGAAAGGAATATAACTTCACTTATACTAAATTTTTTTTATAATTAATAATCAAAATTAACTTTTATTAAAGGTAGAGTGATATTGCATCATTTTTAAAAATTAAAAAAAATTGTTAAAAAATTGAGGTCAAAGTTCCAATGCTCACATATCTATAGTTTAAATGTTTATTTACTATTTGATCATTTTTTTAACAAAAAAAATTAGGTTAATTGAATTCCTAGAGATCCCCTTACATCAACATCAAGATTTGAACCTATAATTTTATAAATTATGAGTCAAATACTTACTTATGAGGCCAACAAGAGGGAGTACATGCTTCTAATTGGATTTGACAACAATAAAATTTAATCATTGGCCAAAAAAATTAATCCAATATTGTTGAATGTAAGATTATTAGATAAAGAAATCATTCATGGATGTCTTATATCACTCGCCAGTGCATAGTAGATCTGGTGTAACTATAAATGAAAGAAATGGGATATCAACATGATGTTCTGCGATAGGACATATGCTGTAATTTATTGGATATGATTTATGTGACTTTTTAGCTTCTTCTTTTTTTTTTTTTGGGCGGAGATTAGATATCTCACTATACTTTGTTGTTGAAGAAAAAAGTAATAACTTCGAACTGATAGACAGCAGAAAAATACGAAAGGCTCCTTAGATCAGTTTGTTGTACTGCAAGTCATGTTTGTATTAAAGGAGTTTCAACTTTCAACATACAAACTAAGAGAGAAGATGAGAGAAACATGTATCCTACATCTTTTGTATACCTTATTTAAAGTAAAAAATGTTAAATTAATTATAACTTCTTCCTTTAATTCAAGAGATCCAGTTGAAAAAAATTTTATTTTGAATTATATGATTTGGTTAAAATATTTTATATTACAAACTAACTCAAGTAACAAAATATATTTTGGTAAAAAAAAGGTAACAAAATATATTTCCTTTACTTAAGTCATGAAGATTTTAAATTTTAATTTTCAAAGTAGTACAAAACTACTAATGCACATGTTTTGTTATTTGCTAGTAGCCCATCATTAAAGAATTAAAGGTCATTTTTGTTCTTGAATTGAGTACAAAAGATTATGGTCAACCCTAAGCTTAGCAAAAAATTATTTATATCCCTTAACTTTAAATATTTTTTGCATCCATCACCCTGCCATTTAATTTGTCCATTTTTCCATTAGTAGGCCTACTTTTAAATTTTTAAAATATTTTTATTATAAAATATTACTTGTAAATCCCAAATTACTTTTTTATATTTTATTCTCTCTCCTCTCTCTTGGTCAGCTTTGAAATCAGGAAATCATCATGACAGGCTTTAGAAATAGTGAGCTATGATGGTCCAATTGAGCACAATATCATATGCATTAAACACCCTCTGAACCTTCACTCCTAGCCACTCCAACCCTTCCCTAAACCTCACATTCCCTACTCTTGGACTTGAAAATGAAAACACTAAAGCCAGCACTACTCTGCTATCCTTCTTCATGTTCAACCTCGTTTTCATGATGTTTACAACAAGAATATGGTGAAAGTTGCTTGCATCTTTGACTTTGGCAAATGTCTTCGAACATGAACATGGCGGATGTCTTCATGTTCAACCTCTCTTTGAATGGCATTGCTTGCATCTCTGACTTTGGCACGATGCTTGCATCTCCTTCTCTCCTCTCTCTCCATCTCCATTAGTGGCACGCATTTGTGAGTGGTTTACCATGAGTTAAAGTGTGTGCTTCATGAAGTTCACCATCACATTCATGTCCATGCATGACTGTATGTTGTGGTTTACCAACATCAATGCCTAGTTCATCACCATCCCGACTACTATTCTTCTTCATGATCAACTGTGTGTGCCCAATTCTAGGACAACTTCTCTAATCCCTTCATTTTCTCTCTCTCTCTCTGTTAAGTTTAAAACCCCACTTCTAAAGGGAGAGAGAGAGAGAGAGAGAGAGAGAGAGTAGGGTGTCATGTGTGGTGATGAGGCCATTGATTGTTGAGAGAGGAAGGGAGGGAGAGAGAAGGGGGAGAGAGTATGGAGGTGGGTGCCAGTGAACATATCATCACCAATGACATCAATCTTAGCTCTAAACTTAGTGACAATCCTACATAGTAAATGTGTAGGTTTGGAAGTCATATTGGTTCTAATGTTAAAGCAGAGCTGTAGAGATGAGAAGAACAATAAAGAGGAGGCAAGCAACTCAGAAAGGGAGAGGAGGGAAGGAGGGGGAAATATTTAAAGAAATTGATGGTGGGACCCACTTTAAATATTTTACAATAAAAATATTCAAAATTTACATGTGAGCCTCACTAATGTAGAAAATGAATGAAGGAAATGGTAGGATGATGAATTAAATAATTTATAAAACTAATGATATAAATTACCCTTTGTTGAGTTTAGAGTCGACTATGATCTTTTGTGTCTAGTTTAGAGGCAAAAATAACCTTTAACCTATCATTAAAAGCTAAAAACTAAATTTTAATAAGAGTGTAAGTAAAGAGTTCAAAGTTAAATTTGAGTGAAAATGGGTTGATCTTATCCACCTTTACAGGGGTTTTCCAAAATAAAAATTCTAAAATATTTAAAA